TTGTCTTTGCACTTACCTTACAGTTTTCTTCATCTTCCATCACATATTCTCTTTTCTGTCTTGTTTTCATGACATAATCCAACATAATCGTCACTATGGGGAGCATACTATGATGGCTGCTCACTTCATCAAAGATGACTTCACGTCTCGTTTTCACGCTTTCTATACTCTTGATGTCAAGTTTTTCGATAGTTTTACCGTCTAAGTTACGTTCGTGTAAACATTGGTTACTTATGGAAAGAAAAATTTCTTGATTTCCGCTGGTTGTCGAGCCAAGGATAGTAACTATAAATGGACCTGTCAAAACAACAGTAAATTACATTGTAGTTTTTTAGCACGGTGATGAGCAGACAGTCCCATCAATTCTGTTTACATGTTTGGAACAAGATAATGCAATTTTCGTACACGCATAATTGTACAAATATGCGCCATCAAGGTAAACATTAATTATTAAGAGGGGTTTTATATTTTACCATTCTCACTTCTAAGGGAAATTCACTATTAAATCCATATGAACATTTTAATTTAGAATATACGGTAACTCATTTAGCTTTTCTCACCATCTTCAGACAATGTACTCTGTGTTCTTGACCTTGTGACCTGTTCATTTTCTAATGGTTCCTGTTTATGTACACTAAGAGCACCATCAACAGTTGGCTTTTGATTCTCGCTCTGAGCAGCACCATTTTTAGTTACATCTCGATCATTTTCGATGAAGACATCATCTTGTTGCCGTTTAGGTTTTGAAGAGAGTCCAACCAACCAATCATGACCAAGTTGTTTTCTGATCGTCTCTACCTCGTGTTGCATATCGCTGGCATCTACGACAAATGGTGTGGTAGCTGTAACAAGTAATAAGATAAGATGTAAGATATAAATACACTCTGTCATCGGTGAAGCAAACACAGACAAATGGGCCTAAAAAATATAGACCATATATTCTCAATATTTCACTAATATTTTCACATGGAACATGGCAAATCAAACTTGGGCAAGATTGTATGATTTTGTCTACATTAAAATTAAGCATACTAGAAAAATTAAACTCCCTCCATACCCATCAATGAATTAAAAACAAACAGACTCAGTAAAATGGTCACACGAGGTCTCCCATCACTTACCTCTTGAACTCTGCTGCGACCTATCGGTTAATGCATCATCGATAGAAGGCTGTCGATGTTTCCTCTTTTTTTTGTGCTTTGAATTTCGTGCTCGTGACCACCGGTCTGACACAGAATCAGTATCGTCGTCATCGGTCACACCACTAGTGTAAGATGATGGTGGAAGACTTGTATTCGTAAAGTAACTATCAACGCTAGTGATGGATGCTTCAAACATAGCGGCAGTATTACGCAGACGATATGCGTCACCTTTGGGGAGGTACTGAAGAAACAAACATTACAGATGTAAGAAACGTATTATTATTGTACGGCTAATTTTTTATATTTAATCTTGATGATCAAAATTGTTTCATCAGGTTTTCAATTCAAAATGGTCAATGGAGTAAGATATGCCTTACTATAGAGTCCTTACAAAAAAAGTACTATAGTAGGTAGTACTGCATTTTTTTTTAATTTTAACTTTATTCAAACTATTAGTAAGTCAGGGATATTTTGCACTAGTGAACCTTGAATATTGAAGTCTCAGTGACGTCTTGTAAGTGCACAAAGACATGAAATAGTATA